TGATCTCACTTTTTTCAGTATGACAACAGGGCTCATATTATGAAATCAAACTAAAATAATCTCTCTAATCCTAGAGATAATTGATTTTTCAACTGCTTTTTCAAGTGCATATACAGCTTAGTGTCCTGCAGGTAATGCTGGGAAGGTCTACCAAAGTGCCAAGAGGTGAATGGAGGGATGTACCAAACATTTTAAAAATATTCTAAATTAAACTGGGGTAGACAAGATTTAACATATTCAGCAATAATTTTCAGATTCCTTTCAACAAGTGCAAATAAGGAAAAAAATGTAGGTTAAAAAAAAAAGCACAGTACCTGCAAAAACGTTAAAAAAAAACATTTTAACGTTATAGAAACATCCGGAATGAGAAAATTACACAGGCATTACTCCATCTAAAGCCAGCTTCCACATGCCAGTAGTCTGTGCCTGTAAGAGTAAACTTTCAACCTGCATTTCAAAAGACCCCAAGGATTAACGGACATTAATTATCTCACTCTAAATGCAAGTTAGTTACTTTGCTTTAGAAAACCCCATCTAGTTCACCAATTGATGGATGACCATTAATACACCTGTATTTGCATTTCAGCGGTAAAAGACAAGCAGGGTTTTCAGCACAGAAGAGAGCCGCTTTGCCAAGTCTTTTCAAATGTCAATATGCTTCAAGTAATACCAAAGCTGAGAGATTCCTCTTGATTTCCCAACTGTCTAGGTGGCCTGGGTAGTTTTCTGCCGGCAGCAGCCTCCTACCTTTAGTTTGTGTGCCTATATCCATGAGGGGGGATTAATTAGCGGGGCTGGAGCTGAAGGAGGCTGTCGTGACGAGCCCAGTGGCGATTGGCCGCCCGCCTGCCTGGCCCTGCCTTTATAATTTCCACACGAGTGCATCTGGGCGCTTAGACAAACCCACAGCAGCTTCTTCTGACATATACACACGCACACTCACCCCCGACACACACGCAGCACAGTTTTCCTCCGTCTGATTAACAGTCCTGCACACACCATGATTACGGGAAAGCATAAATAAATACGGAAGGGGGTGATTATTTTGACTACTGGAAGAGCTTGCCTGGGTCTCAGCGCAACTTTTGTTTTTATTACGGAGAAGGTGATCTCTCCATGCGTTTCTCTCACGCAAGGATTCTTTAAACCAAGAAGAGAGACAGACAGGGGGGAGAACAAATCTTTCACTTTAAGACCAGCTGGGCTCAAAGATAAAAGAAAGGGAAAAGCGGCCGCAACAGGGAAATCACCGCTGCAGCACTTCGGAAAGGCATTTTTGGTACATTTCTGAGCGCTGCGGCCCGTTTCTCCACCGAAGTTGGCTCCAGCTCTAGCAGCCGCATTGGATCCCACAGCTTACTGCGAGACTCCGGTGTACAATCCGGATCTCTGCCCCAACATGATCGCGGCCCAGGCCAAGCTGGTCTACCATCTTAATAAATACTACAACGAAAAATGCCAAGCCAGGAAAGCTGCCATTGCCAAAACTATCCGGGAAGTCTGCAAAGTAGTTTCCGACGTACTGAAGGAAGTGGAAGTGCAGGAGCCCCGCTTCATCAGCTCTCTCAACGAGATGGACAATCGTTACGAAGGCCTGGAGGTCATCTCCCCCACCGAATTTGAAGTGGTGCTTTATCTTAACCAGATGGGGGTGTTCAACTTTGTGGACGACGGCTCGCTGCCCGGCTGCGCGGTGCTGAAGTTGAGCGACGGCCGCAAGAGGAGCATGTCCCTCTGGGTGGAATTCATTACCGCCTCCGGCTACCTCTCCGCGCGCAAAATCCGGTCCAGGTTTCAGACGCTGGTAGCTCAAGCGGTAGACAAATGTAGCTACAGGGATGTGGTAAAGATGGTGGCAGACACCAGCGAAGTGAAACTGAGAATCCGAGATAGGTACGTGGTGCAGATCACCCCGGCTTTTAAATGCACCGGGATCTGGCCCAGGAGTGCTGCCCACTGGCCACTTCCCCATATCCCCTGGCCGGGACCCAACCGGGTGGCGGAGGTCAAAGCGGAAGGTTTCAATCTCTTGTCCAAGGAGTGCCACTCCCTGGCCGGCAAGCAGAGCTCGGCCGAGAGCGACGCCTGGGTGCTGCAGTTTGCGGAAGCGGAGAACAGACTGCAGATGGGGGGCTGCAGAAAGAAATGCCTCTCCATCCTCAAAACCTTAAGGGATCGCCACTTAGAGCTGCCTGGGCAGCCCCTGAACAATTATCATATGAAGACTTTGGTTTCCTACGAGTGTGAGAAGCATCCCCGCGAGTCGGACTGGGACGAGTCTTGCCTGGGTGATCGGCTGAACGGGATTTTGCTGCAACTTATCTCCTGCCTGCAGTGCCGGCGGTGTCCCCATTACTTTCTACCGAACTTAGATCTGTTTCAAGGCAAACCTCACTCGGCCCTGGAAAACGCTGCCAAACAAACGTGGCGACTGGCAAGAGAGATCCTGACCAACCCGAAAAGTTTGGAAAAACTTTAGAGGACAATTTAATCAAGAGCCGAAATGTCCTAATTAAGTGTGAACTTCCTGTTCGATTCCTATCTAATATTTTTCCACTCGGCAGTGCAAACAATCTCTTCCTTTAAAAGGAATAATACAATGTTTAAAACATCATCTCACCCACCCCTCCAAGGGAAGAAGAAGTAGTGGAAGGGGATGGAGAAAAGCCCAAACCCACAAGTATTAAAAGACTTCTTTCCACACAGTTTCCTATCTCCCTTAAAACCTACACGGAAACACCCGGAAAACAGCCTGGCTGTAACGCAAGACCACAGGGAAGACTCTTAACTATCAAAGGATTAGAGCAATCCCGGTGATTTAGGTGCATCTGTCTGTGAGTAAACACGATTTGGATATGCCATCTGAAGAAAAATGTACTGTATATTTTGATTTGTGACGAAGATTGTGATCTCGCATTGTCTTTGGAAGTGTGGACGTTGGTGTTTTGTGATTTGTTGAACAGAACTTCAATTGCCATTTTGGTTACTTCCAGACATTCTCCACTAACAAAGATATCATTTAAAGGTAGATTTCCTCATGGTATTTTTATCTGTGTTTGAAAGTGTCTGAACTTTAAAAAGTTTACATTTTGTTTCAAATATTGCTTGTTCTATTTCTGACATTCCATAAATATACTTGAAATGTTATTTAAATATATTCAAAGAAATTTGAATTCTGCTTATATAATAACGCTTGAAAATCTGAATTATATATTTGAAAAATGCACTTGAAATACACTGGATAATTACTTTTGTGATTTAGATTTTAATTTCTGTTGCTGGTTTTTATTTAATTAGATGCTAATAAATGAAGTAAAATAAAAGTTGTTGTGTCTCACTTTACACTTTTTTCAAACGATGTAATGCTCATTTTGAAAATCCAGCCCATTTGAATATTTTAAATATTTTAAGAAATATGCAAATAATATCTTTTTAAAAATAAACAAAATATTGGAGAAATGCTCTTTTGGTATAGCTACAGAGGATAATCTACCCTTAGTTTCTAACTATAAGACAATTCCTTTCTACCACATCATCATTTAAATCCACCTTTGAAAGCTTGCTCTTTCTGGTTAGTATTTCTGCAGTACTTTTGATAAGGGGAAAAACCTATCATGACAGTAGAGATTATAAATTAAAAATCAGGTTGACTCAGAGGAAATGAATTTAAAATTATAATGAAACTTTTGAAATTTGTATATGAAAACTACACTAATATAATGAAGATCATTTCTGACCAATATATTTTATGTCAAATCTTATTTTATGCATAAGGATTCTATTAGCAGAATAATCAAAAATTCAAAATTCCATTTTATTTTATAGGGCTAATGATAAAAACATAAAGATAAACTTTAAATTATTTAAAATTAAATATAGTACATTCATTAAAAAAAAAAACTCAACTGCTTTTTCGTTGGAAGTAAAAAGAATCCTGTGACAATCCACTGGGAATATTTTAAGAGTCAACAAGTGCTGAAAGGGCTGATCACCTATGAACCTTAAGATAGTTAATTCAGGTGATAGTAAATTTTAGAATTTCAGTTGCTAGTCTATAAATACTGTTTTATGTTTTATTTCAGTATATGAATTAAACATAGTAGCGTTCTGGATCTGTGGGAATATTTGTCTTTGACTTAGAATAACTGCCTCTGAAAACACTTTAAGGAAGACCTTTGCAAAATGATGCTAGAATATTTAACATGACACTTAATGCTCTTGAATTCTTAAACTCAGAAAAAAAGTTTGCAAATTGTACAGTAACATGAAAGTTAAAACAATAAAATGGCTCTCAGAAGAAAGTGCTGATGTGTACAGCTACACTAGTGCTCAGGAATATAAAATCTACACAATAAAATTTAATATATGTTATACGTATTTTCTGCCATTATCCCCAAAGAGGAGTACAATCTTTAAACATCTGAGTGCCAATGCATGCTGTATATATACACATTCAAAATCCAAGCTGAGAGAATCAATTTCTTACCTCTTATGCCCCCATGTAAAACCTATATTCTAATTTCAAGAGATGAAAAAAATGGATGTAATAATGGAGATGGATTTATATCTAATTGGCTTCCCCCCCAGTTTCCTTATAACTTTTCAATAAATAATAATTCATACTATAAACTGTAGTTCTGAAAATTTAAAGTCATCTTAATAAGAAATTTCTTAAGACCTTCCCTAGTCAGTCTCAACCTGAAATGCTGTACCCCGAGGACTTGGGAGCAATTGGCTTAACTACCAAATCTGCCCAAGTGCACACAAAGGCACTCACAGAAAGACTTAAAATGTGCATGCTTTGGTAATACAGGATTTAAACTCATTAATATAGTCTTCAATTCCTTAAAGAAAGCATATGTTATTTCATCCATTTTATTTTCTATGAGAAAGAGGAGAATGTGCTCCCCTCCCCCACTGTCACTTAAAACCAAGCAAAATTGAAAACCACTTTGGGCCACAAAGCCACCAGTACTGTACAAGGAATCGCTTTAACTCACTTTCGTGTCGATCTTTTTGAAGGCAGGATCATCCTCATCTACCTCGAAGTAGATTTCTGTCGTGGTGATGGAGAGAGTCCCCTTGGCCACTACCACGGGAGCGATGAGCTGGGCAGGGGTGCTGAGAACCACTGGGCCTGCAAGACAGGGGCAAGGGAGTGAGGGTGCACCCAGTGGCCCTCTCTCACTCCCTCCCAGAAGGGTACCCTGGGTTTTTATTGTTAAAGATTAGCTAAAACAATGTTGCCTATACTATGCGACCAGCTATTTTCATGTGAGATAAGCTCTTCTTGGCTTTTATACATTACCTTTTAACAAGACTAGAGATAAATAATTCCATAAAAACCCAAGAGGTCAGGATACCGAATAAATGCTCAACCTCCGCCTGGGAATCCTACATGGTTGGTGAGGCGCTGCCATTAACCAGCTTAAAAGCGCAGAACCGGCTCCATAATGCCTGGGTTCTCCACTGAGCAGCAGGGCTTTCCAGAGACCCTCCGCTGCAGTCACACTGCCCCCAAAGACCAGTCATCGTGCAAAGCCGGTGCACTCAACAGCGGCTTTCCCCAAGGAGAGGCGAGAGGATGTGTGTGTGTGGGAAGCTTCGAAATATATAAAATCCGCTGTACTGAGAATTGCGAATTTTGAAGATTATTATCGGTGTCCTAAGGCGCGACACAAACATACGCATACACACGGACATTAAAGTTTTTATATAAAAAAGAACGAAAAAAAAGTTAGCAGTCATTTTCTCACAGAGGATCCGCCAAGTGAAGTAAATGTTAAGACGCTAGAACAAAACGATTCTCAAAAAAGCGTTGGAAAGTATTACTTTACAACTTTTTAAAGAAAAGGTACTAAAGCGTCACTGAAAGTCCCTACTAGCGCCCTTACTTCGAATTCAAGCTGAATTAAGGTCGGGAATCGCTAATTTCACATGTTGGACTATTAATCCAAAGGGGTACTACTTAAATTCTCCGTTTAAAGGCCCCCCCCAGCCCCCCCAACGGTGGCATTCTTCGCCCTCCTGGACTAAAGTGTGACTTGAACTCAGATATAACCTATTCACTTTTCAGCAGCAAGGGCGCCTCATAAGCCTTTCCATTTCCTCACTCAAAAGAGTCTCAGTAACAGTAGGAAAAAGGCAATAAAAAGCCAGCTATCCCGCGGCCGCGCAGGCCTCTGTCCTGGGCCCCTCGGTGCGCAGACCCGCCCGCGCCCCAGTGTCCTCGCCACCGCTAGGGTACCCGGCCGGCGGGGCGCGGGCGACCGTGACCAAATTCGTGTGCTCTGGGACAGCACACACGGAATCTGCCACCGTCCTGCACAAAGCCGGCCGTTCCTGATGCTGGAGGTGTAGCGGGGACTCGGCCGGCTTGCGTCTGGGTTCAAGGGGGTGGCTAGGAAGCGAACTGTATCAGTGTCAGCTCTCCCCCGATCGTGACAGCGGGTCAGACTAACGCACAGCCCGTGCGTTCATTTCACTGCTTTCGGTGCCCAGATGAGCCCGGAGCCCGCGGACTCCCGGCCTCCGCCTCGGGCCGGCGCTTTCCCCGCGCAGCCTGGCGGAGCGGGGTCCACCTCGGCTCCACAAGGTTTTCCTTTCCAAAGGGCGAGGCGGTCGATCTGAAGAACCACTTTAAAGGCTCATCAATCTTAATCTAGGTTGCTCAAGTAATTATGCCCGAATCTCTTGTACGATTACAAGTGGATTTGGGTTTCTATTCCCCAGGCCCTCCTTTGTGTTTATTGGAGGGTCTGCGCGCGCGCTTGGCGGCGCCTCCAGCCTCAGCGCCCGCCGCGGAATCCCCCAACGCTCCGGCCGGTTCGAACCGCTCCCTTAACCCTTAAGCAACCAGGACGCTCCTCAGGATGTTACTTTTTGTATTTCCCTTCTGGAGAAATCAATGCGGTTTACTCTAGATTGAAGTGAGGTGAGAAAGAAGGTGATGTGATTCATACCCTGAACAAAATGTTATCTTATACCCGGTTGGGCCTTGCTAAAATCTCGGAGAAGTCTTTGGATTAGTGATTTATGGTTTAACACAGTTTTCTGGCATTTGGAGAAAACTTATGGTCAAATGCATTAAAAATGTTGAACCTTTTCTTTCTCCTCAAAGGCAATCTAACATATCCAAAATGGGAAAACTGAAAACGAGAATCATGAAACACATGAACAAAACCATACCTACTGATTTACTGAATTATATCACAAATTTTAAGCACATAATTCCATGAACCTTTAACAGGGACATATTTTCTCCACTTATTTCTCTGGGTTTCTGAAAGGAGACTGCGCCTCTTTTTAATTCCACTTCTGTTGAGATTAGATTATTTGGGAGTTTATACAAGGGCTTTGAACTGGTCCTTCTTTAAGAAAGATTCATCAGAAAATATTCCACCTTAATAGTGTGTCATTTTTACTCCTGTCCTTTGGAAATCTCCAATTACAGCATGTTTAAGGAGCACTGAGTCTTTTTGTTGTAGCCTTCAGGGAGCAAAGCAGCCACAGAGAGAATACACAGTTAATCCACTACTGCAATAGAGAGAGGGGATTTAGTTTTAATCCCCTTTGGGGGAGCCTCTGGATTTTAAGGATCCGATATTAAAATGTTTACATAAGGCACAACCACAAACCAGCAGATCTTCCACATGCTACCTGGTTATTGAAAACATTGGATCCCTTTCCAAATAAAAATAGTATAAACAGGGCAGCATCTCTGGATGGCAGCAAGATGGTGAGGTAGCTGATTCTGTTCTAGAAAATAATTTAAATAACTATATCCTTAACCTCCTAAACTTTGCTTGATGCCTTAAAGACAAACTATAAATATATTGATCCCAATTACTATAGCAATAAAAGAATTAATTATAATAACGTTCTCCACACACATAGAAGTGTTATATTAAAGGGTAATTAAATAGAAGGGACCTATTGTATTGATACATAAAATAATTTAAATTTACACCATCTAAAGTGATAATTAAAAAAGAAAAATAACTTATTTAATTTTAAAAACTGATAATATAATGCTTAAAAAATGTTGATCCAGTACTATTTTTGAAAGGATAAGGGTATTACTTGGTATTAATTTAATTTAAAAACTGAACTAGAACAAAGATCACCTAAGCATGAAAGGAATCTTTAAAATAACGAACTTCTCTTTAGAGCCATAGGATCTTCAATCAGTTGGGATGGTAAAACTCATCGTGGACCTGGAATAGAAATGTCTATGTTTTGTGTCTCAAAAGGGAACTATTCATCACATATATTTAAAAAGCAGAATGTTAAATACTTGTGGGTTTGTATTATCCTGATAAAAAAATCAAAATTTTAGCCTAGAAATCTTGATAATACATTGACATTTAAACTTTACAGTTTAAAAATTCTTTTATATTTGTATTTAGCTAATAGTGTAATATTCACAAATTTTAAGCTATGGCTATGCCACTGCTCTCTTGCCAGAAACCACCAGGAACACATTTGTAGCTGAACAAGTTGGGTTTATTGCTCATTGCAATGGGAGAGACTGAAAACCACAGGAGCCATGGAGCAACTGAGAGGGTGTTAAAGGAAGCAGTGTAAGATCTGGCCTAAAGGGATTTTAGGAAGAGTTTAGGACAGCAGGGCTTTGAACTTGCATTGAGCTCTGTCTGAGATCAGTGATAGTTCTGTGATTGCGATCTTAATCAATCTTATCTAGAGGAAGGAGAGACTAGATGTATGCTAAAGCTATAATGGACAAGATGTAGCCATCACTAGGATCAGGAAAAGAGGGAGATGTTTGGTCTTTCTGTGGTATGCACAGTGACCTTGTTTCGGTGCTTAGACAAATTATAAAGCTGTTTTTTGTCTCACATTGTCATCATGTGAGCCCATCTGATGTTAGCATTCTGTGAGGTTGTTTATATCTGACGAGAGAACACCATGGACTAGCTGTGAGCGCCAGGCCAATTCCCAGCAATCCTGAGGTCTGGATATAGATCAGGCTAGTTCCTAAAGGTCAAGGGCTGCTTTTCTTTTTCTTGTATGCAGAAATTAAGTATTTAGTATTAATAAAAGTTTTATTAGCTATATGGATTTTCTGCAACCTCAATCACTCTGAAACTACATGTTCAATTTAGTTTTAGAACATGTAAAAGACTGTTATTTTGGGATAATAAACATTGACTAATCTTGATAGAATTATTAAACTTATAATCCCGACATTATTTGTAAGAACTTAAACTAATCCAAAATTCTTTATGTTCAGTATAAGAGAATATTATCTCAGGTTGGGTACAGTGGCTGGTGTCTATAATTGCAGCACTTTGGGAGGCTAAGGAGGAATGATGGCTTGAACCCAGGAGTTTGATAGCAGCCTAGGCAACATAGTAAGACATCATCTACTAAAAAAAAATAAATTAGCCTGACCTAGTGGCATGCACCTGTAGTCTTAACTACTTGGGAGGTAGAGGCAGGAAGGATGGCTTCAGCCCAGGAGTTCCAGGTTACAGTGAACTATGATTGTGCCATTGCACTCCAGCCTGGGTGACAGGGTGAGAGATTGTTTCCAAACCCCTCCTTCCAAATGAAACAAAAACAAAAGAATATTATTCCAAAATAGTTTAAGACAAATACTATAATGTGATAAAATTTGTAGGGAAATAAATCGCACCATAGCATGAGTGACTGAATATATCGAAAATACGTATCACATATTTGTATTCATATTATTTTTAAGTATGGCATTATCAATTTAAAAGAATATCACAGAATTATAAAAATAAGATGCTTTAATCTCAAAAACAATTTAAAATAAATTACTGAAGAATATGAGAAACTTGGAACTTTGTTTTGGAATCCTGGGAAAGCTTAAGGTATTAAGAAAATGGAGGTTCTTGTGTATGTGCCTAAACGAGATGGAAGTACTTGGAAAACTACTGCAAAGAATCTTAGCTTTCTATCATCTGGGATGATTCCCAGGGTTGTAAGGGTTTGAAATAACTCAAGGAAATAACAAAAGTCATAGTCAAAAATCTCTAGATGTTGACTGATTTCTTTACATATAGAGAATATTGATAGTTGTCCAAATAAATTATCAGATTAAAAATACTCTAAAATGTTAGAAAAACCTTCCTAGCATGGAAATAGCTA